AGAAGTATAAATATAAGAATCATCAGCATATAGTTGACTAGAGAAAGAAAAGTTATTAATAATACGAGGTAGTTCAGAAGTATAGAGTATAAATAGAAGAGGGCCAAGGATAGAACCCTGAGGTACCCCGAAAGTAAGAGTAGAGGAGTTAGAAGTAGAATTATTGAGAACAACAGAAGAAAAACGATTACAGAGATAAGAAGAAAACCAAGATAGACAAGAATCAGTAATATTAAAAGAAAGATGCAGCAGTCTCAAGAGAATAGTATGGTCAACAGTATCAAAAGCTGAAGAAAAGTCAAGAGCAAGAAGAAGAGTAAGATTACTATTGTCACTAGAGAGAAGGATATCATTGTGTATTTTAAGTAAAGAAGTTTCAGTACTGTGAGCAGGTCTTTATTCTATCTATGAATCTGAATTTATTAATTATAAATATCTACTATTCTCTAAACACTCTACTTTTCTTAGAAATTCTATAACATCTGCTTCAAAATCTAAAAATAGGTGGTCTGTTCTATCTAAACTTCTACATAAAAAATCCTCTCACTCATCTTTTTCTGCTCAACAGTTTCATGACTTTTTTGTAAATAAAATTACTTCTTTAAGAACATCTAATTCTAATTTTTCTTCTCATAACTTTACTAAACTTTCTACTGAATCTTTTTCTTTATTTACTTCAATAAATCTTTTAGTACTAACTAAAATTATTAATTCTATGTCGTCTACAACCTGTTCTCTAGATCTACTTCCTTCTAATTTACTTAAAAAATTTTCTTCAATATTTTATCCAATCATTCTCAAATTAGTTAATTTATCTCATTCCACCTCTAAATTTTCTACTTCTTATAAGAATTCTATTGTTATTCTTATTCTTAAAAACTCATCCTTAGATCCTACCTCTTTATCTAATTATAGACCTGTAACTAATATTACTTTCATCTCTAAAATAATAGAAAAAGTAGTTTGTAATCAATTGTCATCTTATATATATTCTAACTTTTTGCTACCTGTATTTCATTCTGGTTCCAGACCTGCTCACAGAAATGAAATGAAACTTCTTTACTCAAAATACATAACGATATCCTTCTCTCTAGTGACAATAGTAATCTTACTCTTCTTCTTGCTCTTGACTTTTCCTCGGTTTTTGATACTGTTGACCATACTATTCTCTTGAGATAGTCAGAGAAGTAGGTAGAGAGTTTCAGAGAAAAGGAACAGAAAAAGCAAAAGCAGATTTGGCAAAAGAGTGTTTAATACGAGTTAAGAAAAAGCGAGAAGAAGACGATCGTAAACCGGCGTTTAGGTTCAATTAATATATCTGATAAATACTTAGAAAATAATTTAGATTGAAACTTATACATGAACGTGCAAATTTTAAAAATTATTCTATATTTTATAGGTAACCAGTGCAAGAGAACAAGATATGGAGATATATGAGAAAAGAAAGGGGCACGAGCAACTAGACGAGCAGCAGAGTTAAAAGCTTTACTTAAAGGATAGAGTATAGAGTCAGGAAGACCATAGTAGAGCGAGTTACAATAATCAATCCTAGATAAGACTAACGAAGTAACAAGATGAGTATTAATCTGAGAAGAGAGAGACATAGTAGAATCAAAGATAAAACCTAGACTACGAAACTTATGAGAGACATAAAGAGTTTCAGAATCAGGTAAGATAATAGGAGGAATAGTAATAGAGTGTTTAGATTTATTAAAACAAATTAATTCAAACTTAGAAGGATTAAGTTTAAGACACATAGAGTCAGACCAAGCGATAATTGAAGAAAGACATAGAGATAAATTATGAAGAACACTATTGAGATTAGATGGAGGAAAAGAAGTATAAATGTAAGAATCATCAGCATATAGTTGACTAGAGAAAGAAAAGTTATTAATAATACGAGGTAGTTCAGAAGTATAGAGTATAAATAGAAGAGGGCCAAGGATAGAACCCTGAGGTACCCCGAAAGTAAGAGTTGAGGAGTTAGAAGTAGAATTATTGAGAACAACAGAAGAAAAACGATTACAGAGATAAGAAGAAAACCAAGATAGACAAGAATCAGTAATATTAAAAGAAAGATGCAGCAGTCTCAAGAGAATAGTATGGTCAACAGTATCAAAAGCTGAGGAAAAGTCAAGAGCAAGAAGAAGGGTAAGATTACTATTGTCACTAGAGAGAAGGACATCATTGTGTATTTTAAGTAAAGAAGTTTCAGTTCTGTGAGCAGGTCTGAAACCAGATTGAGATACAGGTAGCAAGGAGTTAAAGTCTAAATAGGATGACAGAACTTGATTTTAGCTCACTCATAGCATTTTATTAACAAGGGGCCGCACATATTATATTTCACACAATTTACTTCCTAGGAATATATTGTTAAATTTCTTGTTACGTAGATCGTTTAATTAATTGATATAATATTGAAAGACATTAAAAGGAGAGTAATACACTAAGCAACGTTCTCGACTTGTTTATTATCCACCGGATCAACAGAAAAGGAAAAAGTGAAGTTACATACAAAGCAAAGAACATTTGGTCCAAATAAAAATAAATGTATATTATAAATCATAATGTTTTAATATAAAACATAAAACTTAACACCTTCTCGTTTTATTTAAAACATTAGATGACCTTAACCTAAATGTTCTGAAGACCCATCGCACACATCAGATTCTTTAGTCTTGGTTCTACCATTGGTTTTGTCAGAGCATCAGCAACTTGAAGTTCTGTTGCAACTCGTTCAACTGAAACTTCTTCTTCTGCAACTTTTTCTCTGACAAAGAAATGTCTAATGTGGATGTGCTTTGTTCTTCTGTGAAGTTCTGGATTGTGTGCTAAACGAATTGCTGCTTCATTGTCGACAAAAATTTCCGGCTTATTCTTTAGATCTACAATATCGTTCAACAATCGTTTGAGCCATATCACTTCACGAGCTGCTTCACTTGCGGCAACGATTTCTGCTTCAGTAGTTGAAATCGCAACTGAGGGTTGACGTTGGCTAAACCAACTGATCACGCTTCCTCCAAACATACAGATTACACCTGATGTCGATCTTCCACTAGATTTATCTCCTCCATGATCTGCATCACTGTAGGCTATAAGTGTATTGTTTTGACCAGACTTGTAAACAATACCGAAATTAGCTTGCAAATATCTGAAAATTTGCTTGACTTGTGCTACATTGGACTTGCTGGGTTTCTCCAAACTTCTGGATGCTACTCCAACTGCATATGCAATATCTGGTCTTTTTCTCGTCATTAAGTACATCAATGCACCAACTGTTGATCTGTAAGGAAATTTCACTTCCTCATGTTCATTTTTGTTTTCATTGAACTCCTCAGATTTTGTAATCGGAGTTGTACAGGGTTTACACTGATTCATCCCAAACTTTTCAAGAATCATTCTTGTATACGATGACTGACTGACATTAATATTTCCCTTCTCATCTTGATTAATCTCTAATCCATGGAAATATGTTGAAGGTTTAGATGTTATCTTGAACTCTGACTTTAATTCTTTTTAAAATATTTTTCGTTCTTCTTTATCGGTTCCTGCAACTAGTCCATCATCAACATACAGTGCAAGTATGAGTTTCTTCCCTCCCTGTATTCTAATGAACAAACAAGTATCTGCATCGCTTTGTTTGAAATGTCTCTTTTTCAAGAATTCAGCAAAGCGTTTGTTCCAACATCTTGGAGCTTGTTTAAGTCCATAGAGACTTCGCTTGAGTTTACAGACTCTTCCTGAATTATCTTTAAAACCTTCAGGTTGCTCCATGTAAATATCTTCATCTAGTTTGCTGTATAGAAATGCTGTTGACACATCAAACTGCATGAGTGACATCTTTTCATTTGCAGCAACACTTAATAGTGTTCTTATAGTTGAACTTCTGACCACAGGACTATAGGTTTCTTTATAGTCAATTCCCTTTTTCTGAGAAAAACCTTTTACCACTAGCCTGGCTTTAAAACGTTCAACAGAACCATCTGGATTGTGTTTTACCTTGTAGACCCATTTGCATGGTATTGCCTTATGACCTTTTGGAAGATTTACCAAATCCCACGTTTGATTTTCCTTTAATGAGTGCATTTCACTGTTCATGGCTTTAAACCATTCATCTTTTTCATCACTTTGAATGGCATCTTTGTAGCTCTCTGGTTCAAGTACTTCACATAATGCAGACATAACGAAAGGATCATAACGAGATGGCTTTTTGATATTATTCCTGTCACGTAAAACCATACCTTTGGTCTTTTGATTACAACAGTCAGATTGATCTTCTTCATCAGATAAAACTGAACTACGGTTGTGAACATCTTCATCAGTTGAAATATTTTCTTTAATCAAAGTTTCTTTATTTTCATCTTTGATTTCAACATCAATCGAAACTGTATCATCTGAACAACTTTCTTCTTGCAAAATCACTGTATTTGGTTTGACAACCTTCTCATCAAAAATAATATCTCTTGATCGATGCATTTTAACACGTTTCTTATTCTGATGTCCCATTCGTTCATGGTATAACTGCAATGCATCTTGATCATTGACAAAGTTAACTTCGACTTCAGAATTTAACGGTCTAACAGTTTTTGCAACAAGTTTGAACAAACCTCCATTGTTGTTTCTTATTCCAACAACATTTATCACATTGTCAATAAGTAGATGACAACTTCTTGAGGTTGAAACAAAAGAGCTATTTCTGTTCTTATCTTGAGTTGCAAGTACTGAGAACAAATTTCTTTTTACTTTTGGCACATACAAGACATCTGTAAGTTTAACAGTTTGCTATTTATTATTCACTTTCACTTGAAGATGAATAATTCCTTTTCAAAAAGCTTCTACAGTATCACCATTTGCAACATATAATTTACTCGGTTAAGAAAATTTTTCAAAACTTTGAAATATGTCTCTTCGGAAAGTTAGATGACACGTTGCACCATTGTCAAAAAACCATTCATCAGTGTACGCTGACTCATCAATTGCAAAAACACTTGATTGCATAACAACTAGTGATTTCTTATTGTCATCGCGTAGATTGTTATTTCTTGGTTTTGCTGGTCTACCATCAGAATGCCATTTTTCACAATGGCATTTCTTACAATGTGACCTGGCAATTTGCAATAATGACATATCAGTCGCTTTGGTTTGCTGACAAATTTATCTTGTTTTTGACCATTCATGTTTAGTGATGATGACCTTTTAGTTGTTGCTTTGACAAATAATACTTTATTACATTCTGTTTTGCCTTCCAAAGATCTCTCATAGCTACACAGTTGATCTGTGAGTGTTTCGACTGTTCTTTCAGTCTTATTCAACAATCTCCAACTTGCAGCAAATGAAAAATATTTTTCTGGCAAGGTTTCAATTATTTGACACATCAGCAACAAGTCACTGTTTTCATCTTTTCCTAACTCAACCTTTAAATCTTTCCAAAGATTCTTGAGTTTTGTGACATGAGTGACAACATCATCGCTTTCATCCATTTTATAACTAAAGAACTTCATGCACAAGTTGTATGCTTTATCTTCATTAACTTCATCATACAATCTGTGAAGTTATAACCAAACATCCCTGGCATTACTGAATGAACGAACTTTTTCATAAGTTTCATCGGTCATGTTGGTTGACAGAACAATCATAGCACTACAATCTGCTCTGTTGAATCTGTTCAAAGCAGTTTGATATTTTGCTATCACATCTTTATTTGAGTCATCGTTCGATTCATCTAGAACTTTTAATTTGCCATTTACTACATCCATTGCATCAGGAATGCCGTGTAGTATTATACAAACCCTCGATTTTCAGTTCAACCAATTAATTTTGCCTTCTAGGTGCTTGATTTGCACTTTTGTTAAATCCATTTCTTCCTTGTCTTTTCAATTTGACCTTTTAATTAGAAGCAAAATATCGATTTTCAGAGAATGAAGAAGCACATGCTTTCTCTTCACTTCACTAGTCTTCACAAAAGAATCTTCTGATATTTCTTTATTCTAAATTTTCTTCGTCAAATCAATTAATTAAGAAAAACGTTATCTGGGTCCCATAACCAGTTAAATTTCTTGTTACGTAGATCGTTTAATTAATTGATATAATATTGAAAGACATTAAAAGAAGAGAAATAAACTAAACAACGTTCTCGACTTGTTTGTTATTCACCGGATCAACAGAAAAAGAAAAAGTGAAGTTACATACAAAGCAAAGAACATTTGGTCCGAAGAAAAATAAATGTATATTATAAATCATAATGTTTTAATATAAAACATAAAACTTAACATATATAAGAGAAAATATAAATAATAACCATAGAACAACCCATAGAAACTGAAATAAAGCTCTCAATCGGTTTAACTTTTTACTACATTTAAAATTAATATTATTATATTTAATTTAAACTGTTTTATAATATAAAAATATTAATATTAAATAATGCTCTCAACCGGTTTAATTTTTACTATATATAAAATTTTGAATTATATATAATTTATACTGTAATATAAAAATGTAAATATCCTGTGAACGTGGTCGATCCTGTGATTCTACCCATGTACCCCATTTGTGTCATTAATTTTTGTATAAATTTCTTAACTGATATATTATTAAATTATTATATCAATAAATATGTGCAATCATAAAAATTAACTAATATGTTAATATTCTTGATCCTTATAATATTTGTAGAATAAATTTTCTTCCGAATTCCTCCGTAAATTTGACATGAGAGATAACCGATATTTTTTGGTACATCTTAACTAGAATCTCGATCTTTGTTCGGAAGCCAGATTCAACTTTTAAACAACTTCTGCTTGTTTGGGACGCAGATGGGATGTGAAATTCGAGGAATCGCAAAATAATTTCTAGCGGTGAATGCGATGCGGCATTCTTAAATTAAATGGAACAGACAAAGAAGGCGAAAAATATTGCGAATATGGCGAAGGTAGTAAAAGTTGATAATTGTTCACTTTGATGTCTGTAATGTAAAGCTGATGGGAAATGGACCATTCCCTATCTATCAGTTTTCAATTTTAAATGAGTTTTTATTTCAAATGATCAACACATTGATTGAATTAATCTAATTATCATTATCAATGGATCAATTAAAATAACTTATTTGACTAACTTGAGGAAAACCAGTCAGATGTTTGCCACACCTTTATTTGAAAAATGATTTAATTAATTAAATTTTTAATTAATAAAATTAAAAAATAAGTCCATTTTGAGAAAAACCTTTTAGTTTTTCAAATAGAATGTAATTTTCTTTTTTTACAGTTTTTATTTTTATATATTTTTTATCAGACCAAGCAAATTTTTAAAAATATTTTTTGTGAACATTTCATTATCATGCAAATCAGCAAGGTAGTTGCTATTTTATATCTTTAAAAAAATGTTTAAAATTAAAATAGTTTTGTTTGAAAAAAACTTTTTGTTTTTCAAATAAAACATTATTTTTATTGTTTTCTTTTTAAACATCTAGATTTTTGGGAAAAGTATTTTATCATCTCCTACAACTCAGCAAAAACTTTAAAAATTAATTGATCTTTTTAAGTAAAAAGAATTAATTTTTCAATTAAGACATCATTCATTTATATTTATTCAGACAGAGTCAAGGAAGTTTTGTTTGTAACAACAAGGTAGTTGCTGAAAAGACGTAGTGTAATATATATACATACATCTATATATATATATATATATATATATATATATATATATATATATATAATTTGTGTTAATATTAATAATAATTATAATCACTTTTTTATGTCAATCCAGTTATTCAATGCTATGTAATGTCTGATCATTTCCTATTAGTGAAGTAGAAATGATTTTGGGGTTTTTTGTTCAAATGTGATCACCTATCTCCCAAGCTGCACTGTTGCTCTATGGTGATTTTATTTTATTTATTGTAACACCAAAAATTTGCTCGATGAAATATTGTGATCTGCTTTTTACTTCCTCACCATGCTTTTTTCCATTTTTGACTTCTGTTTATAATGTGTTCTTGGAAATGGAACTTTTCCATCTGCTTTCAAAAATGCAGCTGTCATACCGTTGTTGAAAAAAATAAATTTTGACAAAAAAAGCAATTATCAGCTGGTGCTGAATCCAGTGGCATTCCTAGGTCTATTGAGGCCCGGAGCAGAATTATTTGTGAGGCCACATATATTGTCAACTTTTCTTAAAATTCCCCCTACCCGGTTGTGAAATATTTTTCAAAATTTTGACCCTTGTCAAAGTTGTCTAGAACCACCACTATATATATACTCCGGTACTGCACTCACTTGATTTGATTCTTACCTATCAGGTCGTACTCAACAATTTGTTTTTAAAATCGTTATGTCAGATGTCAAAACAGTTACAACAGGTGTCCCTCAAGGATAAGTTTTAGAACCTATTTTGGTTTTGTTAAATGCATTAGATGTTGCGAAAATAATAATATCCCATGGATTCGTCTGTTTTGCATTTGCTGATGATATACAAATAATAACAACTGGCAGACCAGAGTCTTTTCAAGCAGGGATTGAGGCACTGGCGAATTGTTTGCTGAGAATTGGACAATGGATGCCAGGTTGCTCTCAGAGGCTAATTCATTGTAAAATTCAAGTGCTCCCAGTGGGGACCAGGCAACGATTGTCATAGTTTAACATCAGTTCAAAATGGGTTGGTAAAGTTGATTTAACTTTTGCTCCAAGAGCGCTGAATCTGGGCGTCTGGTTTGATCACAAGCTCACAATAGAACAACATATTAAAATGCTATCAATTACAAACATGATTCAGCTAAGAAAATTATATAAATTTCTACATTACTTGAATAGACCTGCATTAGAAACGCTGGTCCATGCTTTTTTAACATTCCATTCAGATTACCGTAACAGCTTGTTTTTAAGTTAACAGCTTGTTTTTAAGTTGCTTGACAAATCAATTGTTATGATTCGGTCAATTCAGAATCGGGCTGCAAAATTAGTAATGAAGGGTTTGAAATTTGACCAGCCAACACCGCTTTTGAATGAACTTCACCGGTTAGAAATCAATAAAAGAATTATCTACAAAATTTGTGTACTAGTGTTTCATTCATTAAATAGTTTGGCACCCGAGTATTTATCAACCAAGTTTATTTATAATACAGTTGAACTGGGTACCGGCTTAAGATTGAACAACATGAACCTGTCAGTAGAACCTAAGACTAATTTGTTACTGGTCCAAGTGTTTGGAACAGTCTTCTGATGTCGCTTAGAAGTTCAGAATTTTCTCTTTCTTCGTTTAAAAAAGAATTGAAGAATTTTCTGTTTTTATCAAATTAACCGCTTTGTTTTTAATTCAGAATTTATGAATTTTTTTATTTTCTATCAAAATGACGATGATTTATTTTGTTTTCAACTTTGTCAGTTTCACTTTAATTTCTTTCTATTTTGAGAGTGCCTTTGAGAACATTTTTTAAATTAGCACGTGTTCATAAATAAATTCTTAATATATATATATATATATATATATATATATATATATATATATATATATATATATATATATATATATATATTTGTCATTTTTTGTCATTTTCAAAGTTTTATTCATAATCAACAACATATCAAATAAGTGAATAAAAGTTATGAAGTTGAATATGCGGAGACCGAATAAGACTGTTTGTCTTGTGGTGGCCACCGCAGGTAGATACATGAATAGTTAATGGAATAAAATAAAGAAAATAACTGAAGCAGAAAGATAATTGAAGATAAATAAGTAAATGTTCGTGTCATTCATATATAGACATATAACTATGTTCGCTCAGTACATATATAAACACATAAATGTTTAATCATTCATAAAGACCATTCATCCGCATCATTGTC